AATACAATAATAAATATATAACAACTACTAATAATATAATATACTATGCTATGCTAAAAATCTACTTTGTAATAGTATTTTAGCTTTTTATTTTTTTTTCTTTTACTTTTTTTTATTTTTTTTATTTTTATTTTTTTTATAATAAATAACAAACTTACTGCAGCATGATGTAAATCAATTGTAGTCTTTGCTTCACCTGGCTCTAGAAATAACCATTCACAAACCTCAATATTGTACCAATCAAACCAATGAGCTACAATCATCATTAGCTCACTATTATGATAGTGTGGACCATTATCTGAAATTATTTTTATCTACTTTGGTTTTTTCTCAATATTATTAAACACAGCTTCAAAACAAGATGCTGTAAACCAAGCATCTTGTTTCATATTTGTAAACCAATGATCATAAGCACTAATATTCAAAAAATCCATATCACTATCTTTAGTTATTACCAAGATTGTATATAATGTCCAGCCTCTTTTGCCAAAAAATTCTTGCTTTGTTTCCTATGCTGTTTTTAGAAGAATTCGCATCTTATAATCTGCAATCATAATTGCACCATCTGAATCAAGACTTACTAATGATGCCTTATATTGTTCGTTTAGATAATACTTTCAAGCATAATGCGTGAAGAAGTATTTCAATTTTTTATACATTTCTAATAATTAAGAATTATACTCATTATTACTATATTTTTTTATGAAATCAAAAAAGTTATATAGTTTCGAACACTCTTGACAACACAAAAAATATGGGCTTAAGCATTCTCCAAATGCGAATAGCAAACAATGATCAATGCATTTATTATGAAGAGTGGTTTTCCTTTCAATTCGACTCTCAAATGATGTTCAAAATTTCTTTTGAGATGGCAATGTAAGTTTTCAATTTGTGATATTACAGAGTCCTTTATAATTTAGTTTATTTTATTATACAATATGTACATATAATATTATGAAACTTAGTCACACTATTTAGAACAAATAACAGCTAATATATGAGTACTGTCAAAAGAAAACTCACATTTTGGTTTTTAATTATATTATGTGTTCAAAACTTTGATTAAAATTATCTTAATAACTACTGCACTAAATTTGATAAAATTTTTTTATTCGAGAATTTAAATAAAAAAATTTTATCAAATTTAGTATAGTAGTTATCAAGATAATTTTGATCAAAGTTTTGAACACAAAATATAATTGAAAACCAGAATGTGAGTTTTTTTTTGATAATATCTATATGCGATTATGCAATATATTATGATTAACCATTTGTTCTAAACAAAATAAATTTCATAATATTTATTATTATATGATTTACTTAATTACATATAACTTACTAAAGTTTCTTTTGTTGTAAATATTTGTCATGCAAGAGCTAATAAATCTTCAAATACTTTAAAACCATACTTGTTACAAATGATACATAATCCTCCCAAATCGTTGCGATATCGGATATGACTACAATTAGCTAATCTGGTCATAAAAGAGGTTTGTCGCATTCCATTTGGATATGTTTCATTAAATTTTGTCTACAAGAATTTCTTTTGATCTTGCATATATAAAATAGGAATTCCAGTTTTGGCATCGACTTGATAAGAACTTTGGGCAACATTATTTTTATCTTGAAAGAATGCTAAAAATTGCTTTTCTTTAATTTCAGACATTTTATGAACTAATTTTTTCAGACCTTCAACTTTTGGTGCACCAGGTCCATATGATCGAAAATGTTTGCATGCCCATTTTACTACATGTGAACTAATCTAATAGTAGTATCAAGGGGTTTCAGAATTAAAATTGCCTTTAGCAAACTAGTAATATGTTTATTTTAAAAAAAGTAAGCTATCAATTTTTATTATCAAAAATAATGTTACAAAATAATATTTTCAAACATATAATTTATTTGGAAATTTCTTATTATTTTTGTTATAGGTTAAAACGATCAAATGAATATATGAAATATGATGAATTCGGATATATATATATGCTAATACAAAATCTACAAACTGTATTTTGCTTTAATTCAAAGCTATGCTAATTTTTTTTCTAACTATGATAAAATTTCTAATAGTTAATAGCTATGTCTCTTTCTAATAACTAAATTGTTTTATTATTATTATTATTATTATTATTTTTTAATTTTATCTTTTTATTTATGATTTTTTTTTTGTGCTTTTGAACAGGTTAGTAATATCATATCAAATGCTAAAAACAATATTTTGCCCGAAACTCTTCATAGTAAGAAATTTTGTTAGTAATCTTTATTTCAAATTTTTGAACTAATCTGCAATTTTTTTTAAAGCTTCGTATAAGTAAATTAGTCTGCTATAATAAATAGAATTTATATTTTTTCATTCTGACTACATTTATTAGACATTAGAGCACTTTGAAAACTATTTCAGAAAATACTTTCCTCTAAATCCTCTAAACTTTCTAAATTCTTTGAATCTTCTAAATCTTCAGGTTCAAGTTGTAAGTATCCAAGTTTATATAATATTTTTAGATTAGCTTTATCAGTAGTTGGGTCTTTTAATTTACTCCAAAATTCATTTTTATATTTAGATTTGGGGTATGGTGTTATATCAGTACATCCACATGTGTATAACATTGCTTTCCAAGCTTGAAATTCATTTTCATTTAACTTATAAGTAGTCAGATATATTATAGCAAGTGCATAATATAACTCTATTATTGAATTTTCTTGGCGCATCCAACTAATAAACAAATTTTGCCAGTTTACTAATAGACTAGTTGCTATTTTTCATCTTTTTATTTGTTGCTAGAATATTTTTTCTATTATATAAAGATCGTCCCAGTTTTCTGAAGTGCACATTTCATTAGAATTTGTTTGGACTATATTTTGAACAATAGGGTAATTAAAACCAAAAAGTGTTTCACCATCAAGATGCATTGTAATTCCAACTTGGGCCTATACACTATTAGCAGATTGATCCTCAAAGTGCCACAATATTTGTTCACCTTTATAGAAATCCAAAGTAAAGACATTATTATTTATTTTTTATAATGTGAAGGTTTTCTAATCTTTTTTTGTTAGTATCGATAATGTAAATTTTCGATCTTCAATCTCTGATACTACTACAACTTGATTTCCTATATTTAAAAAAATAGGCCTAAATGCTACTTCAACTAACAATTTTTTGACTATTTCTTCATTATTAAACCCGAGAACAGCAGGTCCTGAATATGCCATTCTTTTTCCGAAAATTATGTGATATATATTATTAATTGCTTGAGAAGGTGTTAAACAGACTTGACTAGTTTCACTACCACTAACGCAAATAAAGCCAGATTGCAATCGATTTTCTTCACCTCAAACTATTCTAATAAAAAATTGTCATTGATTTAGTATAACACTAACATGCATATGAAGACGATATGGAACAGAAATAGAAATGTTGTCATTAGACGGCCTGAAAGACCACCAATCATGAGCATAAGGGCCATAGTGTAGTTCTGGGCATATTATGCCTTTTTCAAGTAAATAAACGGTTTTGTTAGTTAAGTTTTTCATAGTTTATTGAGTATATAGAAGTCATTTTGGCATTTACAATCATGAATTTTTATTTAATAAAATGCACATTGTGATTTATTATTTAATGTAGATCATTTTACCTCATTAATTAACAAATTAGCAATTAAAGGTTTCCAGATCAACTCACCAATAGGAATAGTATTGGCTTAAAGTGAGCCAGCTTAGCTACTGTTACAGCTTTTTAGCTGAGCTGACAAAACCAGCTGAGCCAGCTCAAGTTGTATCATGTGACATGCTGTAGCATAGTGGGCTTTCTCTGTGATTGAATAATAGACTAGATTTACCAATAAAATTTTTACTGTATTATGGAATGATATACACAAATTGGCCAATCACAATGGAAGCCTACTATGCTATATGCAATAGAATTTACGCCTTTCAGAGGTTTAATCCCCATTTTTTCATAATGTTCTGAAGGTATTAGAAATAATTCTATAGATTTTTTGATTCCTTGAATTTGTTGTTCTAAATCACCAATATCTGTATATAATTCTGTAGGTGCTTTCTCAAGTTTTATAATACTAACCATTGGATTAGTATCATCTTGAAGTACACCAACAACTGATATAGCCTATTAGATTTATATGAGTATGTGAGAGTGAAAACCTGGAAACTGATTTAATAATTTACTATGATCAGTTTACAGGTTTTCACTCTTGACATCTCCTCTAGAATCAAACCCGTCTAACTGATTCAAAAGTTCTAATATAGTTCTTTGAATTTCTCTTTCATCAACTGAATTGGAATTATATCTATAATTAAATAGAATTAATTTAAAATAATAAAATAATAATAATAATAAAATAATGAAAATTAAAATTATAAATTCAATCAGAATAAGATTCATGTTTATATACCGTTTAGTTTTAATAGCATCAATTTTATTAATAAATACAATGGAAGGCACATGTTCTTTAGCAACACGAAATAATTCATATACAAGTTTTGAACCATCTTCAAGATATTTTTGAATTAATTTTGAATCCATAATGTGCAAAAAAGTTGCAGATGTTTGATTCGCCATAGTTTTATCCAAAAGTGTTTTAACTACACATACAGAGATATTTACTATTGATCTGTAGATACTTTGTTGATAGAAATATTGAATTTACCTGTTCTCAGGACTTCATATAGGATAATGCAGATTTCACTTATTGAAGTCAGTCTGGTTTAAACTGGCTCACTTGAACTAGTTGGCTTGAGTCAACTTAATCTAGCTGGCTTGAGTCGGCTAGCTTGGCTTTTTTTGAACTGAGCCAGCTGGATTAAGCTGATCCTATCCCTATTTACTTTATTAACAACTTAGTTCACATATGCTTAAAATAAATAGTCAAGTTAAATAATAAGGTTAAGCGATCATATTAGATAAATGATCGAGGTAAGTGATTATGTTAAGGCACTCTCAAGTATCTTTCTTAATAAACCCAACAAAAGTCTGTGTAATCAGATGGCAAAATCCTTTATTGAATATATTGAAGAAATACTTAAGAGTACCTTAGTTAAATTATTAACTAAATGCTAAATAAAATAAGTAATCAAATAAAATGCCAAATAAGTGATTGATTTAAATACTAAATAAAATAAATAATCATGTTAAATGTCAAATAAGAGAAGTGATCAGTTAAGTGCCAAGTAAGATAAGTGATCAAGCTAAATCTCAAATAAGTATCATGTTGAATGAGTATTCGAGCTAAAGCTAAATAAGCAAATTATATTAGAGATGTGATTAAGCTTATTAAATAAATATATAGATATTAGATAAGTAATTGTGTTAAAATACTAAATAGATGTTGGGTATGCAATCAAGTTAAATGATCAATAAATGATGAATTTGAGTTAAATAAATGATATAACTGATCGTATTAGAACATTCTCAATACATTTCAAATAGACTCAACAAAGGCTTTTTGTTAAATCACTAAGAGAGATACTTGAGAATGCTCTTAAATAAGTTATCGAATTAAATTTTAAACAAATAATTCAAATAATTGTATTTAATTAGTATTTGAGCCAAAATTATGCAAGTAATCATGTTATATGCTAATAAACGATTGAATTAGAGATAAAATAAAAAAAAAAAAAAAATTAAAAAAAGTATAAATAGTATAACAATTCTTTGCATATATCTTATGTCTTATATTGGTTTTTCTCCCTCTTGCATTGTATTGCTTCATTAATATTGCTTTATCTACTTTCGTACTTTTTAAATCGTTTTTTACCTTCTTTCTTTATATTTTGTTTTTGCTTTTACTTACCTTATATTTCTTTTCATCTTTTTTCTTAGATTGGTTTTTTCTTTATATTTCTTTTTTTTCCCTTTTTATCTTATATTGTTTTTTTCTTTATCTTATTTGCTTTTTTTTGAATTTTTGCTTTAATTTATAGCTATAATGAAAAATTCAACATCTTCTGCTGATGCTATTTCAAGTAGCTTGATGACATTTTCTGCTGATACTATTTCAAGTAGCTCAACACCAAGTGAAATTGGAATACACATAGTTGGTAATACATATTGCACTAAAGATCACTGAATAAAAATAATAAATAATGGTAAAAGACCTTGGAAATATTTGCATTGCCAAAACTGGATGTATTCAATAAATACTAGCAGAACACATTTGAAAGAACATACTTTAAAATACTCTAATATTTCACTGCTTGAGACTCAAAACAATGCATTCCAACAAATTATGAAAAATGGAATAGACAAATCAATAATTGATTTGGTTATTGGAACAGGGATATCTTTCAGTATTCTTGACAACTCGTTGTTCTATAAGATAACTAGGAATCTCTATTATGCTACAAATTTATACAAAGTTCCACATTCAATCACAATATCATGACATCTATCTAGCAATATATTTAATTCAAGATTTGATTTTATTAAGAATATACTTGCTAAGTCTTCTGGACAAATTTTGCTAACATGCAATGAGTGGCACTCAACCATTTATAAGTGTTATTACGTTGTCATTATGGGATTATGGATTAGTGAAAATTGGAGAATTGCCAACATAACATTAAATTTTCAAAAATCGGGACAAACAGCAGAAGAAATAGTATTAGCAATAATGAACACTTTAGAAAAGTATTATATTAAGGACAAAGTGTTCGCACTTACTATGGACAACACCACTACAAATAAAGCTATTAACCAATTGCTCCAAAATAAGTTGCAGAATACAAAGTTAATAACAATAGGTTTAATTTTTTTTTAGTTTTAATTATTATTAATTTTTTTTTAATTATTATTGTTATTTTAGTTTTTAATTATTATTTTTTTTAAACTTTTTTTTTTAGGATGCATATGCCACATTCTTAACCTAATCATTAAAGAGAGCTTAAAAGAAATATGTTCATTACAAAAAAAAGTTCATAAAATCATGAAATACTTATCTAATCTCTTAGCTAGTAGTAGACTAGAAGTATTAAAATCATATTATCAAATTTCTAAAATAAAGTTTTTATGACCTATTCTTGAAATAGAAACTCATTGGAACTCTACATTAGCTATGTTTGAGAGATATCTTCATCTATATCCAGCAATTCATGAGATTTGTTCTAAAGAACCATTAATGCCCTCTTGCTTGAATAATAAAGATTTTATAAATCTTAAATCCTTCTGTCAACTCTTTAAGCTATTCACAAGTGGCATGCTAGTTCTTTCTAAAGAGAATTCAAATTCAATTTCTAATGCAATAATGGTTATACTAGAAATTGGTCAGCATATCAATAAAGTTAGAATGAGTCATTATATAAAAAGAAAATTTGAAAAATATTGAAACATAATTGTTAACTATGTCATAATTGTGCATGTGCTTGATTCAAGGTATAAGTTGAAGCACTTAAAAGCAACTTTAATTGAAGTTGGCAACTATAGTGAAAATAATACAGAAGTGTTTGTTAATAATATTCAGCAAAAAATTATTTTATATGGAATGAAATATGCAAGCACAAGAACTTTAACTGTTGAAACAGTTGAAACAGTTGAAATTGTTGAAGTAATGATAATTATATGTTCGATTTTTTAATTCCTAAGAGAAAAATTTCAAAAAAACAAAAACACACAAACATAATTGAATCAGAGTTAAAATTATATAAAAGTGAGCCTCTCAAGGATTTAACATATGACAATAAAAAGAAAAAAAATAATGGAATACTATTTTGGGAATCATTATTAAAAAGATTCCCAATACTTAGTAAAATGGTGTGAGATTATCTAAGCATCAAGCCTTCAAGTGTTTCTAGTGAGAGGGCATTCTCAAGAGCTGGTTTTACTATCACTAATGATAGAGTGAATCTTAACAAACAAACAGTTTCTAGCACTATATTCATGCATTCATGGCTAATAGAAAGCCAAAATGAGTTTAGTCCTCTTAAAATGCTTTCATAAGTAAATAACTTTTTTTTAATTAACTTATATATTCTTGGTGAGTATTAATTAATCTATATATATACATACAAAAGAATGTTGCATGATTCTATATACTACAGTATCGTTATATCATATGATTAAAAAATTCATTATATAAATAACCAGTGTTGCTTTTTTGGGTCCAGTACTTATTTTTTTACAAAAAAACATTTATTATTATTAAATTAATTAACAATTCACAAAAGTAGGAAAATTTGTATTAACAAAATCTATAACAATATATATAAAATATAGAATCAACCTTTTTTATTATAGGCCTTTTCAAAGTGAATTTACTAGTAGATTCATAGATACGAATTTTGTATTATAGTGTATTATATTAACCTATGCATGTACTAACTTGAAAGTAAAATAAAAAATATATTATAAGAGCTTCTAAATTTATTCTATCACATAATATATTTTTTATTTTACTTCTAAGTTAGTGCACACACATAGGTTAATACAATAGATTATAATACAAAATTTGTATCTACAAATCTACTAGTAAATTCACTTTGAAAAGACTCTATATAAAGTTAATTTTTTATTAAGATAACATCTCATGGGCAAATAATGAATGTTGTAGAACTAATTTTTGTGATTCTGATGATAGTAAGAGCAGTAAAATTAGTTGGATAAATAAAAAGTTGCAAATAATTTAAATTTAAAAATTTTTATAAAACTATAGAAATCACGATTTCTGTATTAATATAGGTTAATCTATTTTATTATAAAAATCTTCTGTTAATATTTTCTTACTATCATGAATTGTCAATTAAGTTATTAAAATTTGAATGTTATCTAAAGAGTAATAAAAAAAATAAGTTAATATTTTAGGAAAATCTAAAGTAATTATAACTTGAATTGTACTATAATAATTTAAATAATTAAAAGTTTATTTTTATAATATATTTCAAGGAATGCTATCTATTGAGGATTAAAAGACAATTTTTATGCATGTGTTGAAATATCACAAGGCAGATCTTTATATTGCATAGGCCAAATTCAACTAAGTCTAATGATCTCTCGCTTGAAGCCTTTCATTCATTGATATCTCATAATTCTGTTACATTACCCTCTATTGGAAGAAGTTCTATTAAATCTATTTCTTCGACTATCTTAAACTTATCTGATATCGGTAAGATCAAAAAATTTTGATTATAAAATGAAAAAGGCAATATTACTTTCAAAACAGTGATCTTTAGGTGAAAGAAAATTAAATATACATATGTTTGTCCATAGTGATGATTTACCTATTCATGTATTTAAGCCACATATACCAAGAACTGTTTCTAACTTCCTGTTGAAAAGGCTGCAAGATGATGTTCAAAAAAAGAAGGTAAGCCTAAAGGAAAAGTTGTTATAGTCTTCAGGTATTATTCAAGAATTAAGCCAATGCATGAATAATACCTTGTTCTTAATAAAGGGGTGTCATTTTTATGGAGCACTCTATGCAGTGTTAATCAATATTAATAAATAATATACACCAATTAATCTATCAAGGAATAGCTTATTTTTTATAGATAATGTAAGAAGCATTTATTAGTCTAAACAGACTGCTATAATTGGGCCAAATAATGCAATTTAAGACATTATAGAAAAACTTGCTATGTGATAAAAACTTATGAAGAATTTCTTATAGAATTGGATAAATTATTAAAAATTTAATCCAAATAACGTATGAGTAACAGAAGTAGCTACTTTATATATCCAAAGTAGCTATCTTAAATATCAAACATAGATAATTTAAATAAATGGCTACTTTAGATATCTAGAGTAACCACCTATCTGAAAATAGCTACTCTAGATATCTAAGTATCTACTTTAAATATTTAAAGTAGCTATATTAGTTATCTAAAGTAACTACTTTAGATGAGTAGCTACTCCAGATGCAACAATAATATTCCATTATTTAATCTGTTTATTTATCAGGTCATAATAATTAATCATTTATAATCATTTTTTAACATTATGCACAGTGAACATTTAACACTTTGTCGATCTGAACTTTGTTTTCAGATTATTCTAAGGCTTTCTACTTGAAGCTATTAGACGTATCTGATAATATTAATAAAGATAACTTAAGTTTTGAGTATTTATTTCTTTCTTTCAATTCCAAATGAAGATCATACTAATTCAAATTCCTTTTTTAAATGTTTCACGAGCTTACCTTTAAATATGTACATGCACCGATCAGACTGTTCCTTATAGCACTCATTACAATTTTAATTATCTTACTAGTCAGTTTAATTCTTAGAATTCTTTCTTGCTAATTGTTGATTTAATTTATTTTTTTTTCTTTTATAGAGCTCAATAAGCCTTGGTGTTCTGCTAATATTTGACGTTTCTTGTTCTTGTGTTGTATCTGTTAATGTACAAAACATATTCTTTTTTTGACATTCCTAAGTGTAAGTCAAATGTTGGTCGGTGAGAAATATGTTATTTAATTTAAGCTACTAGTTTACATTATACTACTTCTATTTAATTTCATTTAGTTCGTATCAAATATTCAAGCAAAATATTTAAAAAGTTATACACATATATATTAACCAGATCATGAATATTGCAACTTGGATGACTGGATCAATATCTACTAAAATAATGTAAAATAGATGATATTTGTAGTTCAAATATACAGTATCTGATTTAAATCAATAATCTGAATATTTAAAATAAACTATTTATTATTAAGTTTATTTTAGATCATGAGTATGTAGTAAAAACATTTATTGATTTAAGAAATAAGCTATAAATTTTTGCTATATAATTTTATTTTATTAGAAATAATTTGTACATAATCATAGAGAACATGTATTAATTTATTTTCTCTTTAATTTTTATTTTATTTATATTACAGCTGTTCACATAAATTTTGGTACATCTGGTGAAAAATTGACCAAATGATTATTTGGCTGATTCAATAAGTTTGTGATTTTGGTAATGAGATATTACACAATAATGCATATATTTTTGTTATAGCTGTTTTCATAATTTTAGTTTTCTGATAACTGAATCTATAAGTTACTGAGTCGGAATCAATAAGTCACTGATATTGGCTAATATCAAAAACTTATCGATTCGTTCATAGGCAATTTTTCATATGTCTTAAAATTTACAGCTGTTATCATTATTCCTAGAACATCTTGTGAAAAATTACAGCTGTTTTTATAAAAATTTGGCAAAAATAAACTGACTGAATATTTGCCGATTCGATAAGCTTTTAATAAACTCTTGATTTGAATGTAATCACATCCAAATCAAAAGTTTATCAAAACTTATCGAATCAGTGAATATTTGGTCAGTTCATTTTTGCCAGATTTATGAAAACAGCTGTAACCGAGTAATTATTCTTCTAATTATCATTGACTATAACATGTAGCATGTTAGAATATTTAATATTTTGACTGATTCACTTAATGGCAATATGGATTTCTTTTTTTTTTTTTTTTACTAATTTAACTCAAACTGTGTTCAGGTGTTTGATTAATAACATTTATGATCAAATAGGGTCTTTGCCTTGAAAATAACCTTATAAGACATAGTAAATCATATAATCTAAACTTGATTTTCAAGGCAAAGACCCCAAATAAGTTATTATTTATTAATAACTTATTGGCTACTGGGCTATTTTAATGTGTGTAAACAATTTGTATTGATTTTATGATGTGAATGTGCCACTTCATGCCAAGGTGTAGCATTGTATTTATATATATAGAGTAGTTTGTTGTAACAATAAGTGAAGCAAATTAATTTAAAAATCAAAGCGAAAATACTTTTTTTTACTAATTTATAATTAGGCCATGCAAACTTAATCAATCAGTTTTTATAACCTGACTGGGTCAAAATTTACAAAACTCTAAAAAAAATTTTCAAGTATACTTACTATCCAGGTGAGTTTTTTTAAAAAATCCAAAAAATTTTATACATTTTTTATATATAAAATTTTTTGAAAATAAAATTAAAAGCCAGATTGCCAAATCACTTTTAAAAATTTCATGTTATGAGAACCAATTTATTAAGTTTTGTATGGCCTTACTAATAATTAGTCATTACATTTCTTATGCGCAGTTATTAATACTTATATTTCTTATATTAAATAACAATCATGCCTTAAGCTTAAATCATAATTATTTTGTACCCTTATATGTAATATTTTTCATAATTATTTAAATTTACATTTTCCGAGCCTTGATTGTAAATTAATCACAAGCTCAAATAACATTATAATAATCTTATAATTATATAATTTACTCAGGTTGATATCAAGAATTTTAGGTTCAAGTTTATAATTTGGGTTACCTGGATTAATTTGATCCTTTTGGAACACTACCTATATATTTTCAAAAAATCTGTTCCTGGTTTTGTGTAATAACATCACGTAGCTATCTAGTAAGAGAAGTAACATTTCTGTTACTTTTTGCATGACCTTGGATCAGATAGAAATCGGTACTTAGATTTGGGCAACTGTGATCCCAAAAATTGGACTCACAGTATCAAATCATTATGTTATATTATGACCATGCTCATGCCTGTGCCTATGCTCATACCTGTGCCCATGCCCATGCCTGTGCTCATGTCCATGCCTGTGCCCATGCTCATGCCTATGCCCATGCTTATGCCCATACCCATGCCTATGCTTATGCTCATAATTATGTTATGCCAATTTTTTGCCTATGCCCATGCTCATGTCAAATTTTTATGCTTATATTTATGCTCATGTCAAATTTTTTTGCCTATGCCTATGCCTATGTCAAAGTTTTATGCCTATGCCTATGCCTATGCCTAAGTTTTCAAGTCTATGCCCATGCCTAGATTCTTTATTAGGCATAAGCATAAGACCAGGTTGCAGATCTCCAATACAGAAGATTCTGGAAGGTTTAGTACAAGGTTAAAGGTTATTCATATAAGTGAACTGCTTTAAAGACTTAGTAATTATAGTATATTTGCACCAGTATCAATCAGAGCATCTTGATAAATGTAGGTAGGTAGGTAGATACGAGAACAGAATAGTTAAATAGAGAACTTACAAGCAGGTTTCAGGTATGGCAGCTAGTATAGAACCTTCAAATAAACTACTTAAATTAGACAATGACTAAAGTTGTATGAGTGGCTAGTTGTACACTCTTTTCATGATTGCCCCTTGTAGTTGTAATGCAACTATTAGCTAAATATACTATCAATAAAATCCTGGATCACAAGTACTTACCTTAATATTTAAAAAAAAATAAAAAAACCAAATCCTAGTATCTACTTTATAGCATAACTTCAATATTTTAGTATATCTTGTCTTTTGTTCAGCCTTTTGTTTAGACTTCAAATTCAAATAACTCATATAGGACTATAACTAGTCTATTAGTATATTAAGTTAGTTCAATATTTTTTTTTTTAGTTCATTCTAGCAGCCTAGTTAGTAGTATCTCTGAAACTCTTAATCCAGAGGTTCTTACCTATTCAGATACTACAACTAGGTACTATAATTTTGATATCTGTTTTCTTAAACTAGCTTTATAATAAGGCTATTAAAAATCTGGTTATCTCTCTATTTGGGTCTTTTCAAATAGACTTCTTGTTAACTAATTTTAACAGATTTATATAGACACAAGGACTTATCTAGTATTTGCATCACCTAATTTGTTAGTTTGCATTTTTCTGTATAACTAGTTATACAAATTCTCTATGATCTGTCAATTAATAGAAAATTTAGAAAAAAACAAGTAAAATAAATAACCTATAATTTATAAGTTTAAGAAAATAATAATAATAAAAAGACAAATTTAATTATAATATAATATTATATATTTTATTTATAATATCTTATTTAATATAATTAATAAATAGAATTTTACTATATTACTAATAGTACTTTGTACTATATTGTAATAGTAAGTAAAATCACTTTTCTACTTAATTAAAAATTCAATCGAATTTATATTATAATATTATATTTTTTTTAAATAGTACAACATGTAAAAAAAGTTTTAATATGAACTTCATATAAAATATTTAAATAAAATTAAAGTTAATTTTTTGGCATTAGTTTAAGTAATACAAATTACATCAATCACAAGTACATTCACAATCAAGCTTAGAAAAATTATAATTTTATATTCAGATTGTAAATATAATATAATAGTAAGTATATAAAAGAATAAAAAAAAATATATATAATTTTCATATACAAAAATAAGTTTAATAAAAGTTTCTCATATAAAGAGAAATAAATATTAGTTACTAAGTGTGTAAGGCTAAAAGCTGTATAACTAAAAAATACTATAATAAAGTACTGACATTTCTTATTTGAAGAGTTTTGAGTGATAAAATTATATTGTTGTGAACCTCATTTAATCTAATATAGTCTTTTTTTTTTTTACTATATATATATTTTTTTTTTATTAAAAAAATTTTTTTTATTAACTTCAGATATAGGATGTATATTACTAAAAATTAAGGTAGTAAATAAGACTTTTATGTTAGGTAACATTGTTAATAAAAACACTGGCTATTTAATATTAGATAATATATAGAAAACAAAAAGGCTTGATACAACAGTATTACAGATAGCATCTGGTAATAATCAGTAGATGGTTAGTCTTAATGCAAAGCCAAAAATAAAAGTTAAAGCTTCAGCTAGTCACATGAAATTTGTAGCAATAGTTATAACAAATAAAAATTTAATTAAAAATACTAATGTATAAGAAAAACTATCTGAACTTAAAACAGATATCTCTAGTAAGAATAAACAAAGCAAGAATGAAAAGATAGAAGTTAGTAATGAAAGTGGTATTTTGTGAATTAATGAAGACATTACTATTGACTTTTATTAAGTAAATCAGTTCTATTCTGGTACATCAACTATGCACATCTCTGATATTATGTCTGCAACACTCAAACAGTTTTTTAAGCATTTTTTATCTGTTAAATATATTATGTTAATTGTAATATCATTCACTAATAAATATGCACATAAAAGTAAATGATCTTAGAAAGATTTAATCTAAATAAAATTTATGCATTTTGTTGGTCTTTTGACAATAATAACATATATTTAATATGCTAATATTTGTGATTATTAGGTAATTAATCAGAATACAGTTGGTATTATATTAGAATTTGGAAAATATATGACATATTAATGATTTTGAGATATTGTTAAATATTTAACTTTAACTGATATACAAAAAAATGATGACCTTTTTTATTTTGCTTAACAATTTTACAATGTATATAATAACAACCTTTTCAAGGCTATTATACCTG